CCGTTTGCTTCTTCTTTTTGATATTTTTTGATTTTTTTTGACATCCAAAACAAACAAATAAACAAAATCATTAAATTGATGGGTTTCGGACGCTTAACGTGACTTGTTTTTTTTTTTGTTTTTGGCTCACTGCGTTGCTTCCACGTGAAGCACACATGCATTTCCCTTTCTTTTCTTTTTTTGCTTCCTCCCACACGCACCTATACTTTGGCTGCAGGGCAAACACACACACGCACACACCGACGTAATCACCTTCGTTCGTCATGACGCTCGGGAAGAACAAGCGCATCAGCAAGGGCGGCAAGCGCGGCAAGAAGAAGGCGCAGGAGGCCATGAGCCGCAAGGAGTGGTACGACGTGGTGGCCCCAAAGAACTTTGAGGTGCGCCAGTTCGGCAAGACCATCTGCAACAAGACGCAGGGCACGAAGATCGCGGCGGACTTCCTGCGCGGGCGGGTGTGCGAGAGCAACCTGGCGGACCTGAACAAGACGCAGGGCGACGACGACGCCTACCGCAAGGTGAAGTTTGTGGTGCAGGAGGTGCAGGGCCGCAACCTGCTGACGCAGTTCCACAGCATGGACATGACCTCCGACCGCGTCTACTTCCTGCTGCGCAAGTGGTGCACGACGATCGAGGCGGCGGTGGAGGCGAGGACGGCCGACGGCTACACCCTGCGCCTCTTCGTGATTGCCTTCACGAAGAAGCAGAGCAACCAGCTGTCGAAGAACTGCTACGCCAAGACGCGCCTGGTGAAGTGGGTGCGCCACCGCGTGACGAACCTCATCCGCCAGCGCCTGGCGAAGGTGAACATCAACGACGCGGTGACGCTGCTGACCCGCAACATCCTGCGCGACCGCCTGACGAAGCGCTGCAACCCCATCGTGCCGCTGCGCGACCTGCGCATCCGCAAGGTGAAGGTGATCCGCACGCCCCGGTTCGACGCCCAGGCGCTGCTGAACGCCCACGGCGAGATCCCCGCCTCGGCTGAGGGCGAGGCGCGCGTCGTCGAGGAGGCCGAGGAGGCCCCTGTCGCCGAGGCCACCGCCTAAACCCCGTTCCACGTGGATGGAGCCTTCGCCATGCCGCTTCTCTTTTTTTTTTCTTCTTCTTCCTTCAAGTTTCTTTGAAGCCGTTGCTTCTTCTTTTTGATATTTTTTGATTTTTTTTTGACATCCAAAACAAAACAAATAAACAAAAATCATTAAATTGATGGGTTTCGGACGCTTAACGTGACTTGTTTTTTTTTTGTTTTGGCTCACTGCGTTGCTTCCACGTGAAGCACACATGCATTTCCCTTTCTTTTCTTTTTTTGCTTCCTCCCACACGCACCTATACTTTGGCTGCAGGGCAAACACACACACGCACACACCGACGTAATCACCTTCGTTCGTCATGACGCTCGGGAAGAACAAGCGCATCAGCAAGGGCGGCAAGCGCGGCAAGAAGAAGGCGCAGGAGGCCATGAGCCGCAAGGAGTGGTACGACGTGGTGGCCCCAAAGAACTTTGAGGTGCGCCAGTTCGGCAAAAGACCATCTGCAAACAAGACGCAGGGCACGAAGATCGCG